ACAGACCTAAGCGTTGCTTGGAGAAAACTAGAGTGTGGGTGAGTGTGTGTATGAGAAAGAAAAGCAACACTCACATCCATACCCACGACTCCTTTTGCCAGTCAAAGTGGTTGATATTTTTACCAGTTTAAAACAGTAAAGTAATCTGCAAACAACAGCTTCTGAAGGGTGTTCGAACAAGAAGTCGTACGTCGTCTCTCAGTTTGCTGAAGAATGCATATAAGTACAAGATGCAACTTCAGTTACGTATTGTGTTTGCTACTACAAGGTAAAAACGAGTTTCGCTTCTGCAGTAAAATAATACGCTGATTTTTATTCAGCTATAATGTTTTTTTCACGAAACCTTGATAAGCTCTGCTTTTAGGCTGTAGTAACAGATTCTCAGTCAGACCATTGGGACACAATGCTAAGTTTCTAAAGCATATTCGCTCAACCATATTACTAATAGTAGATATATACCTAAATATCGATGGTGGATTTTTTTTCAGGTGCGCGCATGTATGCTGATATGAGGATGGAAAGAACTAGTCTCTGTTCGCTCGAAAAATGGATGTCGGAAAAGAAAATTAGCAAAGTATATTGAGATCTGAAGTTGCATGTTCATTAGTATTTATACTCCCAAATACAATAATATCCATCTTCAGGGTGTGGGCATGGATATTATATTACTCCTATACATACATCACACCCACATTCACACCAACACCCTCACCCAAACTCACACCCTTTTTCACGGCTTTTGCCCAAAAAAAGGAAGAAAAGAATTTACAAGGGGTGGCGATCGCCAAATCGCCAACCGTTGCGTCCGCCACTGCTCCCTATCAACTTCCACGCCCACATTCACATCCACACTCACAACGACCCCGTCCTTGAGATAGTTCGAATTAAAAGATTAAACTATTTTTGCTTATGTAAGTGCAGATTTGAGTTGACTTACTTTCGCGATATGTCGCAAATTACTGGACTCGATTTTTGAACTTTTTCGTCAAAATAAAATTTAAATTCTATCTCTTCTATGTCACTCATGAAACCTCGCATATTTCAGCATTGTGTCGGTCAACTGTGCAATTTTTAACAGCTCTGGGAACACTACCAATAGTTATGAGAATTGGGTGTGGGTGTGGTGAGGGTGCAGATGTATCTTTTCTTTACTTATACCCATACTATCCCACTCACACCCCACGCTCACACCCACTCGGCTTATTTGTATATTATGTTTCTATAGCAGCATGTTTGTGTCACTAAAATCATCCCATAGTTACTATTCGCATATAATCATATGACTCAAAAGAATGACAGAAGGAAACGAAAAAAAATTTGAACCAACCACACATCCACAAAAAAACAGAAATATAGATTGATCGTTACAGCTATAACCTATATTTTGCATTAAATTTTGTACTTGTTTAAATGTTTTCTTTCAAATAAATTATAGATAAAATAAAATGGAAGACCAATTTGTATATCGCGGTCGATTTAATCATATAGGAGATCGTAAATTAAATTCAACACGTTTATTTTTTAGTTCAACATTTACTGGTAAGATGTTAGAAAACAGTATTCGAATATAATAAGTCACTTGTTATTCTTAGATACAACAGATGAACGAAATGGACTTATTGAACATGTCTATCCTCGATTACGTGAATACTGTCTGACTAAATACAAGATACAATTTCAGGTAATTTCATACCAAAAATTTCATTTTAAACCTAATATATAAATAGTATTCGGATATGCGTTGGGGTATTCAATCAGAAGCATCAGATACTCATCAAACGGTTGACATGTGTTTACAAGAACTCGATAATTGTTGTCGGTTATCTATGGCTACTAATTGTGTGGTAAGATTATTTTGTCATTTTTCTTGTATTCTTTAATATATTCTTTGCTATTTAAAGATTTTATTAAGTCATCGATATGGTAGTCGTTTTGCTCCTGCATGTATACCTTCACGCATATTTCAGCATCTTTTATCAAAAACTGAAGATAAAACTCTTTTAACTGAAATGTATCGATTAGATGAAAATTATCTTGATCAAAAATATTTTCTTCAACCAATCGAAAAAGATAATAAAGAAAAATGGAATGAATCAGAAAAAAAATTACAAATTATTCTACGAAAAGCAGCTGATCGATGTTATGAACAAAATCTAATAACAAAAGATGAACGAGATGAGTTTCATATATCAGGTTTAACAAAAATAAAATTACATACATATATATCACATTTTGATTTAATATTTTAGTAACAGCACAAGAAATTTATCGTGCATTATCAAATAATAAACATGAACCTCGACGAATACTTTGTTTTTTTCGAGAATTAGTTGATATTGATGAACTTAATTCAAAATTTCATGATAATGAAGATAAAACTGAATCAAAACAATTACTTAATGATATTAAAAATTTACTTCAACAATCAGTTGATTCATCAGAAATCTATACATATAAAGTAAATAAGAATTTATTTTTCTATAAATCTATTCTTTTTTTTCAAATAGTTACAATGGAAAGATGAAAATGATCGAAAAAAATATTTATCGAAATTTTTCGATGATTTTTATCAAGCAGTTCAATTACAAATTGATTTTCATATGGAACAAAATAAAAGTAAACAAGGAAATGTATTATATAATCAAATCGTAGAACATGCTATTCAATGTAACTCATTAGTACAACGATTCTATGATCGACCGGATGTTTTTGAACAAGTAAAGCATATTTATTAATTAACATTATCAATGTATTATATATATAGATTAAAACATATATTACATCCTCAATAAATTATCCTTGTGTTTTACTTGGAAAGTCAGGTACTGGAAAGTCATCAATTATGGCACAACTTGTTAATGAAGTAAGAGAAACCATCTTGAGGGTGTGGGTGTGAGTGAACGCAAGATAAGAGAACAAAGACACTCATCCACATCCTCAAGAATATATTGTATTTCGCGATGTTAAACATTCTTGAATAAATTCATAATTTCTAGATTCCAAGTTGGTATTCACAGCCGAATAATGTATCTGTTATTGTACGTTTTTTGGGTGCAACTCCTTCATCGAGTGATATTCGTCGACCGTTGATATCTATTATTGAACAAATTTGTATGATTTATCATTTGAATATTCCATCACATTTTGATAATGTCAAAGAAATCTTTGAAAATGTTTTATTACGTATACCAAAAGATGAAAATCTTATTCTTCTTCTTGATTCACTTGATCAACTTCAAACTGTTGATTTAATTGATTTGTCAAAATGGTTACCAGAAAAATTTCCATTATCATCATCAAATGTTAAATGTATATTTTCAACAATTTCTGATATTGAAGTTAAAATCGAAATAAAAAAAGAAAAAATTGATATTTATAAACAATTAAAATCTATTTATAAGGATGGTTTACAAGAAATAGAAATTAAACCATTTGATGAAAATACTGCTCAAGAAGTATTACATTCTTGGCTTAAACAAGACCGACGTTGTTTAACAACTATACAACATGGCTGGCTTAAACCAAAATTCACTCAACGACATCAAATCGATCCACTTTTTCTTTCACTTCTCTATGATCAAACATTAACATGGCATTCATACGATGAAATTCCTGATAAAACATTTTCAGATATACAACTTACAGGTGATGCAATTGATTATTTATATGATCAGTTATGTATGAAACATGGTGAAATTTTGTTCCGACGTTCAATGATTTATCTTCAATTATCTGGTGGATTAAGTGAAGTTGAAATCGAAGATATTCTTTCATTAGATGATGATGTTTTACAATCAGTTTTTGTTCATTATTTACCACCACGAGAATCATTTCGATTACCATCAAATTTATGGATTCGTATTCGAAATGATATGCATAAATATTTAGTAGAAAAAGATATTGATAATGTTCCATGTGTTTATTTGTAAGTTAAGAAAGGAAAAAGAAGTTTTGTTTCTCTTCAGTCCTATAATTTAACTCATGAAGATTTTCTCGTGTAGTACTTGATGATCATAACTAACTTAGGATGACCCATATCATTCGAGGGCAGGATTTTCTTCGTAGGTGTGTCTAATAAATATCAGATGGCGAAATCCGTTCGAAATTCTGTTGTTGAGAACGTTCTGGTTAGAATAGAAAATGTATGACACATATGATGGATTTTTTTATGTTCGAACTTCTCTATTAATTTCGTTATAACTAATATTGAAATTTGTTTTAGTTATCATCGAGCTTTTCAAAAGTATGAACCACGGCTTGATAGATATAGAAGATGTCTTACAGAAAAATCGATATTAGAAGAAATTCGTCTTGAATATTTTGCTAATCAATATAAAACAACATTTGATATGAGCTATTCACCAAAATTAATGAAAAAATATGATATTTTAACAACAATAATCCCAGTCAATCGTTGTTTAACTCAACAACAATCATTAGAAGATAAAAATAAGAAACAATATAATCTTCGACGTCTTCATCAGTTATATCTTAATATAAGCCATTATGCTTGTGGTCATCATTTAACTTTATTTAATTTAGATTTTCTCTCAGTATTACTTCTTTGTGGAGAATATAAAATTACTGATTTCTTAGATGAATTTACAATGATGAATTCTCAAATAATTGGTGAAACAATTTTTTTTTTTAAACAATTTGAAATATTATTAAATATATTAAATCAATATCCAAATAATCTTACATTTGAATTAGTTTATCGTTTATTTCCATTTCGAAATCAATTGTATGATTTATTATATAATTTACTTGAACAATGTTTAATTGTTTGTCCACTCTTATTAATTACAGATGGTGAACGACAACAATATTTAATGAAATGTTCATTATCATCAAATATAATCTATCCTGAAATTTCACGACATTCTTTGATTATTATAACTGATGATAATAAATTTTATCAATTGACTAGCCGTTATAGAACAACAGTGAATGAATTTGATATTATATATAAAAAAAAAGTAAGACAAGAAAAACTAGTATCAGGTTTACATTCTTTTCGATATATCTGTTGTCTGACATCGAATCGTGAAATGATATCGATGAATACTTCAACAAAAGAATTAACTATGCAGATTCCATGTAATCATTTAATTTCATTTATTGGATATAAAAAAGTTCTTATTATTTCATCATCGAATCATAGTTTACAAATATGGAATTGTGCAGAGAATAGTTTATTATCAGAATATGATTTTAATGATGATATTATTGAAGATTATATATATAAAAAAAAGTTTTAAAAGTAAATTTAAAATTAAGTCAAACTATATGTTATTTTTCAATTGATGATAATTATCAAATTCAACTAATTCGAACTATTAATAAACATATAAATAATTATCAGCATCGTATTTCTCTCTATATATCTGTAGAATTTTATTATTCATTGAATAGTTCAAAAGCTTCATTAGTTATCTATTATGATAAGAATCCAAATGAAATTTATAATGATATTGATTTTCTTCCTCTACCAAAATCTGTTATTTATCTTTCAAATAGTCATTCAATTGCATGGTTAACGGATACCTCTGTAATGATATTTAATCCATTATATACAAAGAAGATGATTTAACCATTTTGTCTCATTCCATCGGCTGATACAATTCAATATGATTTAATTCATGATAATTATAGTTCTGTGGCTTTTAGTGGTGGCTTAGGAAATCTTCTAGGTTAGTTTTATTTTATCTAAATATAAATCTTAGCTTTGGCTTTCATTGAAATGAACTGATTTAGTTAAATCAAATAGAATGAATAAAAAAATCTAAAGAAATTATTTCATAACTCATTATGACTATGTTAGATAACTCTCGGTAATAATATATCAACAGGAGGGCTTACTGTCTTTTCACGAACTGTAATAACACAAGATCAGTGTAAAATGCATGGAACAGAGTAATCTAATATTATCAGAATAAGCATATTATAGTCTAAACCCCTCAATATAGTTGCCAGAAGAATGTGCTCAATTGTCTAGAATACCTTCGGAAAGTAGAATCCAGTAAAGTATAAAAACCTTAAAGAATAAATATCCTCCGGAATTTTTAGATTTAGATAAGAATGAAAGACGTTAACTCATATAAAATCTATTACATTTCGATTTCACATCACAGATGCCTATAGCGGAGCTGCTACGGCGGTGACGGCACTTAATTTCTCTTTATCATCGCAGCGCAGAGCGGCAGCGGCTGATTTTAAACTGCATGGTTATCTCTGCTTCACATTTTTCATCTTTAAATTCTTCGAAGAAAATGTAGAGGATCATTTATTTTTTTTCTAGCTTGTATTATTAAAGCAAAAGGTATTGTTGATATTTATGATTGGTATTATAACAAAAAAGAACAAAAATATGTTTCTCATCATTTAACTCATGTTCAACTCGATATCAATATTGATTATTGTGTTTTCGATGCAGGTATGTAATTTAACATGAAAAAATGTGTTTCTCGTATCTTATAATAAAGAACATCCCGATGGTATTACATTGTATTGTTCGGATGGAAAACATCTTTATAAATATAATGCTACAATGTTATCTTGTCTTACTGCGTCTAAACATTTGGTTCCATCCGAGATAATTCTTCAAAAACCAAATATACAATTAGATCAATTTTTAACATATATAGACAATGATCAGTAAGTGAAAATAATATTTGATATAATAATTTAAAATGGATTCATTTTTTTGTTAAGGAATCTAAAAGTTTTTACATTAAATGATAATTATAAACTTGATTTTCATCTTTCCATTCAATCAATAAAACAATATTATTTTACTAAAATCTCATCACATATTTTAGTTATCAGTAGAAAAAATCTTTTATCAATTTATTCATTAAAAACATCGAAATTATTATGGATAACAAATGAATTCGAACATCGAAAACTTCAAATTCATTCACGTCAATCATCATTTATTCTTATGTGTCCACAAACAAAACAAATTTTTGAAATCGATACAAAATTATTTCAAATCAAAATTCTTATTCAATTACCTATTGGTTGTCTTACAAGTACACTTATTTCAGAAGATCGATTATTTATATTATCAAAAGATCAAATGAATTTAATAGAATTTAATTTAATTAATCAAACTTTAATATTTCAATCATCTATTCAATTAAATTCAAGTAAAATCATTCACATGGATTCAGTATATGATTATCTTGTTTTTCATACCTATAACAATCAAATTTATCTTTGGAAAAAACACAATGAAGGATTAAAACAATTAGAAGAAACTTCTCATTTAATAATCAAAGATGATCAACTTGTTCTTGCATGTACTGATAATAAGAAAATCATTTTATATGATTTAAAAGTAAAATCACGTCAAATTGCTCGATTAGATGATGATGCTGGTGAATGTGAAGTACTTTGTTTAAGTAATATAAATAAAAGTGATAATGAACAATATCTTTTTATTATTTGTTCTGATCGATTGTTACGAATGTATCGTGTTTCAAATGGTGAACAAGTTGTGAAATTATTTATTAATAAAGATTTATATCCATTTATTGGAATCTTAAATGATCATTTATTACTTAAAGTTGCTAATCGTTTATGTATTATTAAAATCATGGATCGAAAGTCTTTACCACCAAGGTAAAACTTATTTTGTTAAAGAAAAAAAATGATAATTTTGAATAAACTATTTTAGATTATCTGATATCAAATGTTCCCTTTTCGAACAAAAGGCATGGTTAAACTGTCATGATCTTCATTTCGTCTGATTAAATATTTTTATATTTTTAACGAACTTTAAAGAAAGTTATTTTAAATAAAATTATTCTTTCCTGTAGAATCGTATCTCATTACATTAGTTAGAATAAAATAGCGATTGCATAAATGTATATTGCTTCATCTATTCCTGTGCTTTTAAGTTCGTACGTTCTACATTCGATATGGTTCATCATCAACTATTTCATGAATATAAGAAGACTTCGTATGAATAGATCGAAGAACTTGATTGTTGAACATTAATAATGAAAGAAACAGAAGCTTTTTCAAAATTTAAAATTTTTAAAGAGTTTTACTATTAATAGAAGAGTGGAAATTCTTGAGCGAAAACACTCAACATATTCGGATCAAAACAAAGCTTTCAACAAAAGACTAATAAATTTAAAATATGACATATTGATAGCTTACCTCGGCACAGATATATTCAATGTTTAAGTTATGTATTATTAAGATGCAGAAGCGTGTTAATAAATGAATTATTCGCATCAACCTCCTAACATAGTTATTATACTGCTAAGACGGAAATTTCTGAAATCTTGGTAAGATTTATTGACACTCTTTAGACTTGCATAGTTATGACTCCTGAAGTCTAGAAGTATTAGATCTGAAAAGAGCTAATACTGTTTTTTTGTAGTTGGTGTGGGTGTGTATGAGGAAGAAACGTTACAGTCACACCCACACCCAAATACTCCCATGTTGTCGGTCTATCGTTCGGACCTGGTCTCGGCGGGGAATGTCTGCTGATGAAAATGTAACACAGAGCCCCACTTCGGATCAGTTACGAATGCTTTGACTAATAAATATTTAAGAGACACTTCTTGATCTCCTTAATTTTTATCTGAAAACCATCTTGGAGGTGGGTGTGGGTGTTCTTCACATACACTTTAATAAATTAAGAAAAAAAATAGATGAAATATCCGTTAATCCTCTAAACCTTTTATTAATATTCAAAAGAATCGAGAAGAACGACATAATGATCTCTCGGTTGAAGAAGACGAAGAAAATGAAATTGAATTCCAGTGGGGAATCTGTTTGTAAAAAACTGCTTAAATAAATATTTTATGTATTTTCGACATGAAGTTTTTGTTATTCTTAATAATAAAATCGTTGAATTTAATGAAAAAAAAGAAGTGAAATAATTAAATTCGAAAATAATGAAAATCTAATTGATATTCATCAAAAGGTTTTGTTTTTAATTTCAATAAAGAAATGATTTTCACAATTGTTTGAGATCAATTTTTCTTATAAGATTTGTTCTGTTCTACCAGATGTTTGTTTCTTTTTTCGAAGACATATTTATCTTGAGGGTGGGTGGAGTGTAGGTGTGGGTGTGAATATAAGAAAAATTCAGCATCGAAACCTTCACTCCACACCCACGTGCTAACGCTCATTACACCCGCCCACACTCACACCCCCATTCACATCCACCCACACCCACACTCACACCCACACCCACACCCATCCACACCCACACCCACACCCACACACCCACACCCACCTACACCCACTCTCCCACTCACATCCACATCCACATCCACCCACACTCACACCTACACTCACACCCACCCACCCACATCCACACTCACCCACATCCACACCCACATCCACACCCACACCCACATCCACACCCACATCCACCCACTCACACTCACACCCATCCACACCCTAGTTTTTCATATATTTTGCTGTACTGAAAAGAAAATTTTGTTCAGTTACAAAAGACGCTTACTTAATATGAAGCTTTCTAGCACAAGGAATAAGTTTAAATATTAGATTATTCATTGCTTCTCTCAGTTCAAGTCATGCCTCAACTCGATCTTAAAATGAATATATTCAACTACTTTTGATTTCGCCTGATATTTTTTTATTATGATTATATGAATTTTATTGCTAAGCAAGTAGGAAGAAATAAAGAACACAAGAAGTAAAGAACTGCTACAAACATTATGATTGACTAATCACAATATATTTATTTATGATATTTCGACAACATCGATTGTCATCATCAGAATAAATACAATAACTTTTTTAACACGTATTTGATAGATAATGTGAGACGTATATAATTGTGAACATGTGTTCGTGTGTGGGTGTGGGTGTGGGTGTGGGTGGGGTGTGGGTGTGGGTGTGGGTGGGTGTGGGTGTGGGTGTGGGTGTGAGTATGGGTGCGGGTGTAGGTGTGGGTGTGGGCGTGGGAAGGGTCTTCTTTCTTTAAAGAGAACACCCACACCCACACCCACACCCACCCACACCCACACCCACACCCCACCCTCACCCACACCCACACCCACCCACACCCACACCCACCCACACCCACACCCACACCCACACACACCCACACCCACACCCCACCCTCACCCACACCCACACCCACACCCACCCACACCCACACCCACACCCACACCCTCAAGGTTGTTCGCTGATTACCTATGCGAGGATGTCGATGTGTCATGGTGAGGGTATGGGGGGGGGGGGGGGGGGGGAGGTATATGAGAAAGAAAAGCAACACTCACATCTACACCTACGACTGCTTGTGTCCGCAAAAGTTGTTGGCTTTTTTTATCAGTCTGAAGCAGTAAAGTAATATGTAAACAAAAGTTTCTGAAGAGAGGCCGAGAGCGAAGTCATACACTAGTCGCTTATTTTTCTGAAGAACGCGTAAAAGTACAACGTACAAATTCAGTCACATATTTTACTTGCTGCTGAAAGGTAAGAAAGAATTTTGCTTCTAAAGCAAACTAATACGTCGATTTTTTTCCAACTTCGATGCGCTTGCGTAAATCCTTGATAAGCTGTGCTGTTAGACCGCAGTGGCAGACGCTTAGTCAAAGCATCTGTATGAATGCTAAGTTTTCAAAATATATCTACTAAACCCTGATACTAAAAGCAAATATATATCTTACGAGGAAGGTTCACCAACTTGAAAATCGCTTTTGAGCTGATATTTTGTGCATAAGTAGATACTAGTGGGCCTAGTAAAAGCCTAAAAGGATAGCTGCTAATAGCGCTTTCTCATCGAGTTATAGTTAATTTACTAAAATTTTAGCCTGTATCTTGATATAAGGTTGAAAATCGAATGATCGCAGTTTGGCCTGAATTCTTGTCCATGGATAGTACAACATATAAATAGCATCTCCTCAAAATTTCAGTTCAATCGGATAGTTCCTTCACAGGATAGTATATTTCAAAAAGTGTTCATATTTTATCAATGATATAAGAAACTTCTTTTTTTCTAAAAACTTATTATCTAGTGAAGGAACTATCCGATTGAACTGAAATTTTGAGGAGATGCTATTTATATGTTGTACTATCCATGGACAAGAATTCAGGCCAACTGCGATCATTCGATTTTCATCCTTATATCAAGATATAGGCTAAAATTTCAGTAAATTAACTATAACTCGAAGAGAAAGCGCTATTAGCAGCTATCCTTTTAGGCTTTTACTAGGCCCACTAGTATCTACTTATACACAAAATATCAGCTCAAAGCGATTTTCAAGTTGGTGAACCTTCCTCGTAAGTACTTGGTGGTGGTGGTTTTTGTTGCAGATGCGAGCGTGCATATTGCAATGAGAATATGACGACCTAGTCTCCACTTAGGAAATAGGTACAGAAATAGGAAAGTAATAACGATCTTTCAGATCTAGATTCTCACCTTCATTGATATTTACACTCACAAATACAATAATATCCGAAGCCGCATCAAACTCCTCAAACTTAGTGTGTGAGGATAAAGGTGTTTGGGTGTAAGTGTTCACTTTTTGCACATCCGTACCTATACTTCACATCTAAACTTCTTACCAGTGGGGAAACCTGAAAATCAGTGAGGAGATGGCGGTTTGTTGGAAGGGGCGGTAATCATCATGAAAATTTGATTTTTGACAAGTAGTATAACATTTTTTTAACGGTTTTTGCTGAGAAAAAAGAAAGAAAAGGATTGTCAGAGGGTGGAGGTCGCCGGATCGCGAATTCCTACGTTCGTCACTACCCCTAACCCACTTGCTCATCAAATCCCACCCACGCCCATATATATATACTCTTACCCATACTCGTACTCCACATTCACACCCATACTTTAAAAACGTATTAACAGTACATTTTTTAATGAAACTTCAAGGGTTATCTGGCGCTAACAGTCATTGACGAAGAAAAACACGTGAAACTCCGTTAGAAAACTATTTTTAATGCATTTTTATGGTCCAAAAGATAATATGTGTTTTTTGTTAAATCGTTAATATTGCAAATTTTTTACATGGGATCCGTTAAAAAAATGCGGTTTTCTTTTTGGATGATATACACTCTAATTTACGACCTCGCTCGTCAATACACTCTTCAAATTTTTGAACATTTTTTCACTCCCGTAATGTCTTGTAGAATATAGAACCAAGGTATATATGGCTAGTAGATTTACTGATTGTTATTCTGAAAAACAATCTGGACCAATCAGTGGCTACTGGAAGTATCCACTTGTGTCCTTGAAAGATGCACTAGCCCCCGTTTCGTCAAAAGTTAATGGATTAGATCGGGATATCCAAGAAGCTTATGATCATTGTCATTTCCCATCAGAACATGGCCTTACTAAGGATGAATCGGCTGCTGTATTCTTATACACATCCGAAGCAGGTGAATACAGTTTTTATGCTGTCTTGAACCGAGCACTGCGGGATGAGGAGCGAAGAAAAATAACATCATGGTTCTCCTATCTGAAACTGTTCGACACAGCCTTGGAAAAACTACCTACAGTAAAAGGATGCATTTGGCGTGGCGTACCTCAGAATGTTAGCCAAGATTACGTCGAGGGCACCGTAATAACCTGGTGGAGTGTTAATTCTTGTTCGTCAGTAGTCAAAGTTGTCGAAGACTTCCTAAGCTCCAATGATGACTCCACACTGTTCATGATCGAAGCTGCAAATGGAAAAAAATTGACTGGATACACTACTTACCCCAATGAAAAAGAAGTTTTGTTGAAAATGGGAACGAAACTACATGTAAAGAGCAATGTAATGAAGCATGGCAAATTATACCTTATCCATTTACTGGAAATTGATAATAATAATCAAGTAGGAATACCAGCTACTACGATCGCAGCGCCATCAATATCATCTTCATCGCCAGCCTCAGCTGCTGCTGCAAGTTATTTACAACCAAAACCACTCAACAAAACTATTCACCGTTAGTGTTACATACATTTTCGTTGAAAACACATGAATGATGCTGTGTGTTCCATTAATACTAGATGCCGAAGTCAGATAGTAATTGCATAACTACTGCTATTCAAAACTTTACTGAAATTCATGAGCAGTTACAGTAGTTTCCAAGAATCGACGAACTTTTCTATTTTTCTTTCTGATAAGAACAGGAAAATTTTATTGAGGATAGGATTAATTCATTACACTTATATAATTCTTTGCATAGTCCGTCCAGAAAGTCCGTAAGCGCGGGTATTTTCCTACTAACTCCTGATAAAAACAAGATAAAAACCTGGGTGGGTGCGGATGCGAATGCATTTATGATAAATATTCACACTAATACTCACTCTACCTCACCGCCTAACAGTTACTGACTATGGATGGATCGGTCATGCTCCGACAACAGCTCATTGTATATGTTATTACTGATCAGTGTACATCCATCGATTTTCCCTCATACTTCCAGTTTTTTGTCTTCATTTTTCGAAATTTACGGAAAGTGGAGAATTGTAGTACGGAAGGGAATTTTCTAATGAAACAAATATTTGATAAAGTTTGACCTAAGGTTCTTGAGGCTGAAAAATCTGATTCGCAAGATCAATTATTCAAACTTATAAATCTCAAAATTCCACGACAAGGGTGATATTTTTTGAAAGTAATGACATTCTATATGAAAATAAGGAACTAAGGATAGAAATGAAGATCTAAGTATAGGAATAGAGAAGTCAAATGTAAAAAAACCTACGCTTGCGATATTTATAGAAATAAACTTCAATCAAGTCAGCAGATCCAGACTAAATGTGCTGCGTGGGCTGCTGTAGAATCAGGCAGAACCATTTTTTGGTAGCAGGGAAAAGAAGTTTGAGAAGAGTGGTATTTTCAGTGTAGGTGTAAATATTAACATCATATCACACCCATACTCGTCTTCTTACGGCTATCGGTGGCTAACAGAATATGTTACTAGTTACATTAGGAGATGTTGTCGATCGAGTCTCAAATTTATTTGATGGAGTTGACGGAAAAATATGAGTAGTTAAAGAAAATATAAAGAATCCAACAGACAGTTTAACTCAAAACAAATCCGCTTCGATTCAATTGTCTATGATGCAATTCGACTTGAATCTGTCGCTTGATCATGTGCTTAATGAAAGGCTTCGTTTCGAGAAATGTCAATTACTAAAACCGTAGTTCTTTTACTTGAGCTTTTTTTAACACCGTTACATCTAGCTTCATCTCGCGCCCAAATCGTTTGGAGTGGCATGCAGGGTATGAACTTATGATCAAAATATTCCACTGGACCTAAATTCGTATTTATGTAATACAAATTGAAACCGTTCTCTCATAATATATTCCTAGAATGTGTAAGGGTGCTTGATTATCTTGAAGGTGTGAGTCTAGTTTCATGTTTCAACGCACACCCACACACTCTGAAAAGAGGCCATAGTACTGTTTTAATGTTCCCGAGACATTGCATTATTATGGTACTCTAGAAAAAGCTGTGGTCTCCTAGAGAAAGACAAGAAAAACTGATTTTGAAATTTTTTTTGAAAATCTGGACAGACGCAGACCTTAATAATAATAATTTATTATGAAAAAATAAAATATTTTCACTGCTCCTATTATTAAATAAAAATATCGGAATCTATCAGGCTATATGTGTTGTGTAAAATACAAACATACGTTTACCAAAACCATATCTTAGGATAAGAGCAACGAAAATATTAGAAACTTTTACGATAAACTACTCTGATCCAAGTTGGTCTCTATACAAAGTTTCATATTGAAATTAGAAACTCAGTTTTTCTAGAGTTCTTGACGATGCTACGATATTGTGTTACAAAATCCGTAAAAATGTATTATCTCGGTAGCAATAAGGTGTTACCATAGTCCCTTTTCAGGCTATTCGTGCTCATCAGAAACTACATAATGAGCATAGTCTCGACTCAAAAGTATTTCGTTAGCTAGCGATCTTGTGTCGTAAATGTCCCGGAATAATGAACGCTGCTTATAACTTCTGATCAATTTATCCGTTATTTATCAAGTGTTTTTAGCAATGGCTTCGTCGTCTTCAAAACAAGAATACGGTATAATCATTCTGGGTAATTCGGGCGTAGGGAAGAGCTTCCTAGCCAATACTTTACTCGGTCGAGAAGCGTTCGATAATCGAGTTTCGGCTCGCGCAGTGACAACCGACACCGAGTTTGAAGAGATCACTATGGGAAACGCAAGTTACGCCATTTTCAACATTCCAGGCCTCATTGAAGCTAATCAAGAGCGCATTGATAAGAACAAGCGCGAGATTGACAAAGCCTTCCTTGAGTGCCCAAAATCAATCATCTTCTATGTGTTTGGACAGCAAAATGGTCGGATTCGAGATGAGGACGTTGTTGCTTTCAATGCACTTAACAGCGCCTACCCATTCAAGCTCGAATCACTCGTGCTCATTGTCAATGGACTAGCAAAAGACCGACCTAAAGATTATGAAGGTGAAGTCATTGTCATGCTAGAAGAGCTTATCAATGTACCGTGCCAGAATCTATGTGTTCTCGATATGATAGATAAGAACAACCAACATGAGAAAGAAAACTTGAAGAACAAACTACTTCAAGTCATGGTCGAACGAATGCCGAATGATCACATCAAAGAGCATGATATCGAGCTACAAAAAGAAGAGGTTCGTAAAGCAAAAGATGAAATCAAGAAATTGCAAGAGACTTTTCAGCAAAACAAAGAAATGTACGAATATAAAATCAAGGAGCAACAAAGAAAGTACGAGGAAACGTTTGCTCAGATTAGAAAAGACAATGAACAGATGCGACGCCTCATCGAGCGACAAGCGGAAGATCAACGACGACGAGATGCTGAGCACGAAAAATTAAACCAGCAACTAATGGAAGAAAAGAAACGCACCGATAAGCTAGAAAAAGAGGTGAAAGACGAACGAGAAAAAAGGGAGAAAGCCGAACGAGAAAGAAAGGAGCAAGCTGATCGAGAAGCAAAGGAGAAAGCTGATCGAGAAGCACAGGAGCAAGCTGATCGAGAAGCAAGGGAACAAGCTGACCGAGCGCGTAAGTCTTTCTTAATGATTACAGAAAAAATGTTTCAAGGTTTTTTGTCGTTCGGGCAGACTTTAGAGATGCCAATGTCTAGAGAAGAAAATCATATAGTTCATCACATATACTTAAGACTTTTGGTCGAATAATAGTTCTAGTCACTCTAGTCACGATTTTCTTGAGTAGCATCTAGAATTTATATCCTATATCCAAGTGCCCAGATAAAAATAGAAAAAACTGAATCCTTGAAAAGTATTCTTTATTTCATGCCTTTACAAGCACACATCCACCTTTATTCCTTACTAGTTTAAAATTCTCATAATTAAAAAATGTTGATGGTTCCCAAATTTCTGAATATCTTGAATTCAACAATGCTGAAAATTTCAGAAACTAGTTATTCCAAAAGTTTCCATTGTTGTACAGCAGGAATTCTTTGTTCAATTTAGGAAAATTCGAATGTTTCGAAGATTCTAAATTCGAGAAATGTTCAAATCTATGGTATGTTAAATTGAGACGATGAGGAAAGTTCTTTAATATCAACTTTTCAATAGTTCCCATTATCTACATTCTGTAAACGAGAATAATTTTCTTCTTGATTGGTCATATGGTCCACTACTGAGATAATTTCGAGTTTACTAGGATCCTCTGAATCGACTTTTTATAGAACCATTGTCTGCGTTCTGTATTATTTGGTGACTGCCTGATATTTTCATTTAGAACTTCAAGAATTTGCTGCACCTGGTACGTACAACGAACTTGGTCGAAATTATTTATTTCTCCAATCGTCACTAATCATCGAAGCATTTTCAAATGTTTATTTCTAACAAAACAGAGTAGACGAATACAAATTTTGTCATGAGTAATCATATATTCTATGATTTGTTCATAGTTAATTGTAACAAACTTGCATTGATAGAGAGAAAAATAATTGAATCGAATCTTGAAGGTCGTCCTATGGATTATTCTGCTGCTTAACAACATTCAACTGTTAAGACAATTTCAACGATTTTTTTCGTAAGAAACAAAGTTTTGGAATAGAACTTTTGTGCCAAGTGCCGTAAATGTCGTTATGATTATTCATTTTTCATACGTTCTTGAATCAATAGATGATGTTCACACCTTTGTTTTGGAATCAAAGAAAAATAAACGAACAGAATCCTGATTCAATTGATTCATTTTATATGCTATTAACTTTATGCTTGAAAGTTCAGTAATTTTACTTTGGCTTAATTTACATACATGAATATGATTATTGGCATTTTTCTAATAATTCATGTTTCATGTGAGAATATCGGCGAGCCACCCGATTGAAATATGTACATTATCGTCGACAAAATAGATCGACAGAACCTACTGGTGATGATGATTATTCAATTAATCAATGATTTACAAATCGTTTACCGTTTACGAATCACTGGTTTCATGTCTGTAAAATAGATGAACAAAATCTTCAAGACCAATGGAAAATGGTCATACATTTAATATGTGATTTTTATTCTTGAATAGTAAGCATTATGGTATTCGCGGGCGACCGAAATTAATGAGTCACATTATTGGGTATGGATAATTCTTTTTTCATGTGACTGTTGATCGCCCTCATAACTCGAAAATTACGCATCGATATTAATAAAATAACTGAAAAGTGTCTCTCCAATAAAAATCATTTTATTTCCATGTAATCATTGAAGAACTCGATGATTCGCCTTATCTGATGCAAAATGAGTTGAATAGAGGAATATGATCATTATAAAAATTACGATCAGTCATTTATTGCATCATCCTCCAAATGTGGATATGTTCTAAGCCTTTATTTCGATGTACACCACATCACTGAATAAAAGTATTGGAAACAGGATGATTACAAAATAGTTATTGATGTATCACAACATCTCTTTTGACAAAATAATGCAAATGTTTGATTTTATAGTTTACGAAATAAGTGTATAAATTTCTCGTAAACTTCATTCGTTAATCTTGTGATTATTGATCAAGTTATTGCTTTGCAACTTTTATTTTAAACATAAGTGAAAATAAATGAATAACATCTTTGGCGAGTAATGATTCAATTATTATAAGATGTGTGATCAGTTATATGAACCGCATGCTTCTGTATGAAAGTCCTGGTGTAGTTAAATAAAACACCGCTCATGATTATTCATGAATTATGCATCGTTAATCCACATTATGAATTGGTAATCTCCTTTCTTAAAACGAGAACGTTAGATGAACGCAATATTGGTGAATCTAATTTATTTGGGGCGTGATCTTCGATAAACTTAGCAATTCATCTTCTTTAATTAGGATATCGAAAAAATATATGAATAAAATCTTGATTAGATTGTTCCACTGTGATGTGTGCTCATCAAACAGTAAAATTTGCTTCAACTTTGTAAGTGTTATGAAAACATAGATAAATAAAATCATCATAATACGTTCGTTCATCTATATCATGAAATTTCTATCATTTGAGACATTTGAAAGCTAAGCTTCCGAGGAATTGATATTGAAGAACGCAACGTGTTTCATCTTTATTCATTGACCATGAAACATTCAATCAATTCACTAAATTCCTAATAAGAGTTCAAAGAAACTAAAAATAACCGGACTAAGTCATTTTGCCAAACGTAGTTATTATTCTTTTGTCGTGTGACTAATCATCAGTTTCAATCAGCACATAGTTTGATTCAAAATGAATAAAATGAGTGAAAATGTTCTTTAGGTTGATTAGTTTAACATTTGATGCTTGATTAGTCTGATACTTTTCAAATCTTGCTTTCTCGAGTGGGATAGGCGAACACATTAATGATCATAGCTATTCATTCGCCTCGTGACGTGAAATCATACTACAAAAATCTAAAGAACTGTAACACAGTTCGTAAAAATAATGAGCACAAGATTGGTTCAGAATATTTGACTACTATGCAATCTCTAAGTTAATAATGAACTCGTAGGTATCGTTTCCGCATCTCGAAATATAACTGATCAGAATCTTGCAACCTGTTGTTGGTGTTCCCTTGGCATGTGATGTTGGGTGATGTGACCGGGTCGAAACGTTTGCTTCGAAGTGAGGAAAAGAGGTGAAAAGAAGTGTTATGTGAAATGTTTCTTTAGCATGTGATGTTGGATAATGTGACCGAGTCGAAACGTCTGCTTCGAAGTGATGAAAAGAGGTGAAGAGAAGTGT